TATATATAAAGATCTTTCTATATCTATATATAGATCTATAAATATATATATATCTATAAAGTATATATACACACACACACATTATGGATGCACCGATACCGATACTAGTATCGGTGTTGATACAGTTGAACTCGCCCAATGCTCAAATACTTACCGTCGATACCGGAGCTGGAGATTTCCTGACCGGCAGTGCCACGAGGGAACATGGAAGCCAGCTTCCTGGCCAATCTGCATCGAGCCGGCCAAACAGCATGGAGATAGATTCCCGGCCAATGAGGAAGACGGGCAGCAGGTAATGACCCACCACCCGTCTTACTGATTGGCCGTAAAGCTGGCTCAATGCTGATTGGCTAGGAAGCCGCCTACCCAGCCAATTAGCATGGAGCCGGCTTTCTGTGCAATTAAGAAGCCAGGCGGCAGGTAATAACACGACAACACCTACAGATGGTCATGAGGTGCCATCCGGCTTCCTGATTGGCTAGGAAGCCAGGCTGCTTAGCAACAAGTGAAGCTGGCTTCCTAGCCAATGAGGAAGCTGGGAGGTGGGTCATAACCAACTGCCCGGATTCCTGATTGGAAAGGAACCTGGCTCCATGCTCCCTCAGCACCGCCAGTTAAAGGGAGGTCTCACTCTGAACAGAAGTTCTGGTATCGGAGGTAAGTATCAGAGTATTTGGGCCCAACTTGGTATTGGCACCGATACTAGCATGTCGGTATCGCTGCATCCTGAACCTAAACTAAGGAGAATGCAAACTGATTTGTCATGTCAAAAAAGTACACTCCTATATTTACCACCCCCTTAAATCCATAAAACTAGAAGCAGGTGTTCCAGACTAGGTACCAGTGATGAGAATCTCCTTAGGGAGTATGCAGATGGAATTCACTTAAACCTCAGATATCTAGGGTTTGTTGTGTGCTTTGTTATTGATGTGTGTGGTATCATCATAAAAAGATCAAAATAACTTTCCAAGGCCCTCAAAGGAAAGGTTGTGCATGCCTATAAATGTGGCAAGGGATTTAAAGATATATTTGAAGTCAATAACTTCACTGCAAGGAAAATAATATACACGTTGCAAAGATTTCAAACAACTGCTAATTTGTTGAGGACTGGAAGGCCCAGCAAATTCAGACCAACAGCTCACAGTTTGATGCTAAAAAAAGTCTCCAGGAACCCCAAAATTTCAGTGTGGAATCTGCAGATAACTCTTGCAACAGTTGGTGTCAAAGTGCATGCATATACAATCAGAAAGTGATTGATCCAGTTTGACCCGCATAGGAGGTGTGCCAAGAAAAAGCTTTTGCTACCCAAAAAGTACATTAAAGCAAGACTACAGCTTGCCATTAAACATTCAGGCAAAGACCAGGTCTTCTGAAACAATGTGCTATGGACTGATGAACCAAAGATGGACTTGTTCGGCCACAGTAACTTTAGACATTTGGTGCAAACCAAAAAGAGCGTTTCAGGAGATGGACCTAATGCGAACTGTGAATCATGTTATGATTTTGTGTTGCTTTGCTGCTTTAGGATTTGGGCAGCTTACAACCATCATCATCAACTATGAATTCTGCATCATATTAGAATGTTCTTGAAAAGAATACATTATCTGTCCAAAAGTTGAAGTTGAACTAGAAATTAAATCTATCAACACAATGATGATTCAAAGCACACAAATCCACCAAATAATGGTTCAAAAACAAGAAATTAATGGTTATGAACTGGTCAAAGCACTCATGTGAATCCCATTGAAATTTTGAAGGGGGAGTGTGAAATGGGCAGTTCATGCAATAAAACACACAAAACTTTCTGCAAACGGAAGGTATTTTGCATGGAGCAGTGGTCAAGCATTCTACAGAGTCAACGTCAGAGACCAGTGAAGTGTCAAGAAAAGTAATTCCTGCATAACAAGGAAATACCAGCTTCTGAGGCAACATTACATCTATTGATACTTTTGTTGAATACATGGTTGAAAGGGCAATTGTTTTATGTTGTGTTTTTAGTTAAGTATATGACTAATTTGTTTACATAACTGTACATACAATATGCTCATATCCATCAAGCATATACTGTATGTACTGTAGAATCATACAAATCATAAAAATGGCTGCACAGAGAGGTCCACCAAAGATCTATGTGCCAGAAATTTCCAATATGATGGATATGCTTTCCTCTAAACTCCAGTGTAGTGTTCAGCTCTCCATTAAAAACCCAACTGTCTTCTGAACTTGTCACATACAGAGGAATATACCTACTACAGTTTGGAGGAAGTATGCTTTTATTTGTAGGCTATTACAAGGAGCAATCATCTACTATTTCAACAGCCATAGAGATTTCTGTATTGAACTCTGGTGTTCAGATCTTTACATTGATATTGTCAGATCTTTTCAATGATAGTCATTATACTTCTCACTGAGCTTTAGGTGTTGTGCAAAGCCCTGCATGAATTGCAAGGTGATATTGTGTAAATTAGCTCTACATTGTGTTGCTTGCGTTGATGAATGCAGGAATGTAAATGCATGAGCTAACCATTTTTGTCTAAACTGTGAAGCAGCATTATATATGCATCATGTGCATGATTTTTCCATATATGGCATAAGTGTAAATATGCTTTTAGAGACTTTTTGGTTGATAAATACGTTTTGCTGTGTAAAAATCACACGCACCTAGTGAATGCGTGTGCTTAGGTTAGTAAATCACCCCCTTAGAGTCAGAGTAAAAATAGTATATATATATATACATTTACTGGTGGAGTGAGCTTGGTGCTGAAGTGCAGATATTTTGGTGGTTTGCATTCTGGAGAGTAAGCTGTGCGCAGATCTCATGGGTGACATGGGTATTGGAGGAACGGCGCAGGATTGAAGGATTGGTTACTCTGCTTCGGGTTAAGTAACCAGGGAATGTGCCAAGGATGGTGGTACATATGCTTGAGGATTTACTTATGTATCACATCTGTACAACTTATCTAATAGGACCCGATTCATACCATGCATTTCTTTATAATTACAATGTTAAAGATTAAAATTGCTTATGTTGATCAATCCTTAGGATATGTCAAAGTGTTTAGCATTTGCATTTTTATGATGTTAGCTATTAGGAGTCATAAAATACTTAGCACCTAAAATGGTTTGTTTATTTTACAGCAGCCAAAAGAAAAACTTTAATTAATTCTTGTCTACAGCATTATAAATCCAGAGCAAATGGTTTAGGCTGATGTGTGTTTTCAAGCTCTTAAAATGGCTCATTTATTTTAGAGGGATAGAAAGCCATGTGTTTTAAATGGGTAGATTCACATAGGAACTGATGCTTATTATCCAGAATATGATTATATAACAGATTTTCTATTGTACTGCTAGGAAATCAAGAAAAAACAATACAGTGCATAAGATTCATTTTTAACTGAATAAAAAGTTTTTGTTTTGTGAGCAACTAAAATAATAATTTATATATAGTATAGAAACCATGCTCAATCTGCTCTAAAGCCTGATGTTCTGTTAATTTGTCATACATATCCCTCGATCTAGTATAGGAAAAAACAAAATGTTGATTACTTTACTTAATGTACAAAAGAATTGTTAAAATGGTTACATGGATACCAAAGTACCTGAATGCTAAAAGTGGTTGTGGCTACAAATATAGGAGGCTATAGTCCAGGAAGGG